TTGCTTCCAATTTTCATACTTCAATCACCGCTTATTATTAATGCACCTTAATTGCATGTTTGATCAATTTCAGAATGAAGAAGGTAGAATTTTTCAGTTTATTCATCATTGGCTTTTGTGGTTGGTGCATAAATTTGAATAATAGTTGTATTAACTGGTCATCCTTACAAGTATAAAGATATTATCCTAGCACAATCTGCATTGTATCATGGTAAATCTTCATATGTTTTTGTTTTTTATGATGAATGTGATGCCATCCATCTTGAATTTGTCATTCTTGGCATTGTAACCCATGATTATCCAATTTAAAATGACCAATACCAGTACATTAAGTTCACTAATGCCTAGGATATTAATATTTACATATTTGATTTCATTTTTTAAAACTTTCAACTTTCCTATACTCATACTTCATACATTGCAGTTATTAATGGGTGTTTTCGGTGGCTTCCCATCAGCAAATGAAGAACAAAAGCTGGGCTCCATGCTGTTGTTAAGTGCTATCAAGTCAGTTTTGACTCATAGCGACCCTGTGTAGGGTTTCCAAGGAGCTGCTGGTGGGTTTGAACCTCCAGCCTTGCAGTTAGCAATCCAGTGCTTATCCTACAGTGCCACTTTAGGACTTCATACATGTCATTAAAGTCTACTCAGAGAAGGCAGTCTTCCAACCTCAGGGGCTTCTCTTCTGGCACTGTATCAGACCACATTCTGTTGCTCTTCAACCCTACTACCTCTTCCTAGTCTGTTCTTAGTCTGGAAGCTGCTCTGAAACCTGTCCACCATGGGTCACCCTGTTGGTGTTTGACCAGTGGCACAGCTTCCCACAGTATAGCCTCACACAAGTCATCACAGTACTACCAACTGACAGACGCTTGGGGCTTCCTGAGGTGAGTATACACAAAACCATCCCTAGGATCAAGCTTGTGGTCCAGAATGGGCAAGAGGCCCCTGGTATAGAGCTGGTGCTAAGGAAACCTACAGTGAAGCTGAAGGTGTCAGGAAAGCAGAGGCTAGCAGCTCAAGACCTTCCACCAAAGCCCAGGGGAAAATACCCGAGACCCCACTGAGCAGAAACAGGGTGGGACGGAAACCAAACAAATTGCTCCTTTAAAGCCACCTGAAATCTAGGTTTCAGGAACATTTGATTTTGACTTTTCTTTCCTGCAGCAGGAAATTTAAAGAAAACAAATCTTTAAAAGCTGCAACTCCAAAGCAAAAAGCCCTCTGTGTGCCTACTTCTGGTCTTGGCTTCAGAAACAAACCTCTTTTACTCTGGTCTGGATCATGCCCAAGGTGGCCAGAGCCTCTTGGCCAAGCTGGCCAGCAGCCCAAGTCTCAGCCCAGATTGAGCCAGACCTTGAAGCTGCCTAGAGGCCTCTACTCCAGGGCACTCTGAGGTTGGGGGGTGGGGGGTGGGGTAGGGTGGTGATTGATGGATTATGTTGCTAGCTGGGAGCAGAGGGCATTCAATCTGTCCCATAACCAACACCAGCCAGCTGCCCAAGGGATGGATACTTGCCAGGGAAGAGATGGGGCTGAGATCACCCAGACAAAGTGACCTGTACTTAGTCTGCCTAGGATTTAAACCGAGGTGCCCTGTCCTCTGGTCCCTGGGTGGTGCAAGTGGTTTGCACTTGACTTGTAATCTAAAAGCAGTTCAAACCCACCTTGCAGTGGCAGAGAAAAATAATCTACTTCTGTAAAGACTGTTGTTAAATGCTGTGAAGTTGATTCTGACTCATAGCGACCCCGTACAGGGTTTCCAAGGAGCAGCTGGTGGGTTTGAACCACTGATGTCGTGGTTCGTAGTCTAGTACTGATCCGATAGTGCCATGCCAGTAGTCCTCTGTAAAGATTGCAGTCAAGAAGATCCTACGGAGCAGGTGTACTGTGTAACAGATAGGGTTTGTTTGAATGGAAATTGATGTCCTGCTTATCCCCCAAGTTTTGTCCTTGGTTTTCTACTCATTGAGAAATTAGGAAGGTGGCTAGCTATTGAGAGGGCCCCTTCCAGTTTAGGAACCTCCTATTTCAGCAGCAAAACTGGCCCCACCAGAAGGCAGCAAGGAACGTGTGTAACTGGTTAGGAGGAGGAAGCCACAGGCAGACAAAGGCGCCCTGTGCAGGGAGGAAAGTTTGTTTCCACACCTGGATCCAGGGCCTTCCAAGAATCATAGTTGAAGGTTATTACTTGAACGTTGTCAGATGGTTGACTTTGCATTCCTGGAAGCTATAGTCCAGGAAAAGTGGAGTAGAGAGACAGTTGAGAGAGAGACAGAGAGAATTGATGGGAACGTGAAAGAGGAGGAGGAGGAAGAGGAAGAACAGAGGAGAGGAGAGGAGAGGGAAAGTGGAAAGTTAAGGAGAGAGAGGTGAGACAAGGACAGATTGAGACATGGAGAGAGGTCCCAGGGAGAGAGGGAGTAAGCAGAAGGGGCGGCCATGGCTCTGGCAAGACTCAGAATCACCAAAGCCTGGGACACTCTCTCCCTCGTGCTGATGAGCAAAGCCAGAAGGTGGTCATCTTACAGCTCCTTTAAAGAACTGAACATTCATTCATTGATTTTCTGTAAAACAATAGCACAAACCAACACCCATGCAGCTGCAGCGCCCTTCACCTTTGCCACCCAAGCTGGGCAGCAGCAGGCAGCTGTTGTCATGGTAACTAGCATCCTGAGGCCATAGCTCCCTGACACTTTGAATGATAATCACCTCACCGCTGTTGCCAGAGCACCTACTGTGTGCCAGTCCTTGTGGCATAACAAACCCTTAGAACCACGTGGGGAGACTATTACTAATCTCAGTTTACAATTGGGGAGACCAAGCAGTCTGGCTTCAGAGCCCACATCTTAATCACCATGTCCCTGTCATGGAAACAAAATGATAACTACTAGTAGAATCACAGCCTCACAGTAAAGGGCTAAAGGGCCTTTGGCTTTGCCACTTAGAAGCAGTGGAACCTCAGGGGAAGTTATCGATTTGTTCAGAGCTGTTTTCTTCATGCCTGAAATGAGGAGTCCTGGAATGTGGTGCTGTAGGATAAGTACTGGACCTCAAGGTCAATTTGAATTGCAAGGTCAGAGATTCAAACCCACCAGCCACTCTCCAGAAACTCTATACAGACAGGGTCACTATGAGTTGAAACCAACTTGATGGCATTTAACAACACAACAGCATGATGATAATAACAGTAACAATTTCATAGGGTTGTTGTGAGGATTAAATAAGATAATATGAGCCACTTAGCAAATACCCTGGCCAGAGGAATGCTTCATGACAGTTTTCAGTAACCATGCATGGACCTGAAGCCCAGAGTGGTGAGGGTCAGATCTCCCTGGCAAACCTTTAGCCCTTGGGTCAGCTTCCCTTAGCCAACACTGAGTGCAAAGAATGAAGCAGAAAGGTGACTTCCAACAAGATGGTGGGCCAGACAGACATGCTACCTAGACCTCTACAACAAAACTGTAAAATTTCACCCAATTCACAATTAATTAGAAGTTTAAAGGAAAAAAAGGAATGAAAGAGAAGGTATTCAAGCACTGGCGGAGTTTCTCCTGGTGCCAGGCAGTGCTCTGGTGCCCAGCAGGCTCAGTGAGATCCTCTGCTCTGTGAGGCACTAGGGAGTCCTGGTGTGGCTTTGTGGAACAATGCACTGGGCCACAAGGTCAGTGGTTCAAACTCACCAACCGCTCCTCAGAAACCCTATAAAGAGTGGCTATGTATCAAAACTGACTCCTTGGCACTTAAGAATAATAATCATAGGATTGGAGTCCTGGTGTGGTACTATGGGATAAAGCTCTGGACTGCAAGGTCAGTATGAACCACAAAATTAGCGGTTCAAACTCACCAGTGGCTCCTTGGAAACCCTAAACAGGGTCCCTATGAGTGGGAACCGAACCAACTATATGGCATTTAACAACAGCGAGGCATTAGGATTCTGGGCCCAAAATGCTCAGGGAAGTTTCCCTGCTTCATACTGCCCCTGCCCCTGCCCTGCTCCACTAAGCAGCCCAAGGAAGAGAACTGTAGGGCCCCCTTGGGTGGGGCAGCAGGGCAGGGCAGGGGACCACTATCTCTCCTAGCACAGGGCTGGAAAGAGTTAAGGCCAGCCTTATTATCAGCTCCCCAGGCCCTGTGCACAGACAGTTGGGTGGGAGAGCAGGCCCTTCCTCAGACAGGCAGCCTGGGGAAACAGAACTCTGAACAGACTGGCTGCCGCTGTATCATTCTAGGCAACGATTTCCCTTTCTGGGCCTCAGAGACCCCATCTGTGGAACTGGAGATGCAGAGAACGTTAGACAGGGTGTGGCCCCAGGCTTCCTTCCAGCTCGAAAAAGTCAGGATCCTGTGACCACCTGGGAAACGGTTATGATTATTCTTCTTCTTATTGTTGTTGTTGTTAAGTACCGTGGAGTCGGTTCTGATTCACAGTGACCCTAAACAGGGTTTCCGAGGCTGTACATCTTTACAGGGGCAGAAAGCCTCATCTTTCTCCCACGGAACAGCTGGTGGTTTCGAACTGCCAACCTGCCTGATTCGTAACTACTATGCTTCCAGAGCTCCTTTCATTCCTATTTATTTACAGGTGAGAAAATTGAAGCGAAGCAGTAGGAATTTACTTGCTCCAATTACTTCATTAGTTTGTGGCAGAACAGAGTGACACCCAGGTCTCCTGACTCCTAAACCATTGGTCTTTCCACCCCACACGCCCTGACCTTCTTGAAGATCTATGGGGACAGGGCTGGAAATAGAGAACTGAAAAGGATACAGACATGGGGGGACCTAACAGCCCTGCAGCACTGGGGGTATCTCCCCTTGGGTTTGGGTCAGCAAAAGGTAGGGTTGGCAGGATTCTGGGTTTATGGAGAGCTGGCACTATAAAGATCTGAAAACACCCCTGCCCTTATCAGTGGGCTAGGGACTGGGGTGGGGTGCATCCTAGAATCAAGGGCAGGTTCCATAGAAACAGGGAGGGGGCAGAAAGAGAAGGTGGGTGCAGCTCAACGGAGGCCTCTGGCCTGTCAGGAAAGAAACACAAAACTTAAGAGTTAAGGGCTGTCTCTGAGGGGTCAGGCTAGTCCCACTTACTCCTTGAGCAGCTGCGGAGGTCCTAACCCAAGGAGCTTTCCCAAGGTTATCCTAGACATCCCAGGCTGGGAAAGAGCCATCTAGCCCAGAATCTATACCCTAAGACAGGAGAGGTCATGGCCTTCTCTGAGAATCTCAGGAAAGTTATGTCCTCACCCCATGGGGACACTACAGCCCAGACTGCCTGAGTCCCCTGCATACCTGGTGACAGGGTCCCAGTCAGTACAGTCTTGGTGATCCAACTAACCTGCCTCTGAACCAGGCAGGGCTATTGCTGTAGGCAGTGGAAAGAGGCCCCATGAAGCTGGCACTGCCCTGCAGGAGCTACCCTGCACCCAGCCAGTTTCATGAATACCCAAGCCTTGGCCCCTTGTCTGAGCCAAACCCAGACTGTCCCGAGGACTCCCTCTTAGGAGTAATCCTAGGAGCCTTGTGGGCACTGTGCTCTGCTACCTCTCCTCACTGCTGGGCAGTCTAGACCTGAACACTCACAGGATACACAAGGTACACACACACACACATACATACACGTGGGCACAGAAGGACAGAGCCCCCGCCAGACTTGTGACCTCCATGCTGCCAGACAGATGGAGGCTGCTTCGGCCTTATATGTAAATATAAATTCCCAAATGTTCAATTCTAGCCAATACACTTCATGCAGAGCAATGCCCACCCTTCAGGCTCTGCCTACATCACACCTAGATCTCACCTGGATGCAGTGGTGACGGGAAGCAAACTGGTTTGCCCCCATCTGGTATCACTGTGGCGGAATCATATTGGAGGCCTTGATGAAAATTCAGATCCCTACTCCAACCCTGGCCTGAGATTCTGATTTGGTGTTGTAGGATCAGTCCCGGTAAACTTTGACCTGGTGGTCATTAAAGAAACTCGGTTCCTTGTATACCTGCTGCGTGCGAGGCACTTTGCTCAAACCACCTCACTTCATCTTCTGATCACCTTCCAATCCCCAAGGTCACACGCTGGCCACTAACAGAGCCATTGGTGGAAGTCACCAAGAGGGAGATACCAGGGTGAGACACAGGCAGGAGCCTTAGGAACCATGCAGGGTTAGACTATGATGAATAACTGCCTCCTCCCATCACCCCCCACACCACGGTCCAGAACAAGGTAGCTTTGGGTCAGCTCCAGCCCACCCAGGAGGCTCTAGCGCAGCTGGACAGGACCCAGCACCTTCCCTTCCGCCCCCACAACCCCCCCCCACCCACACACACACACTGCTGTTGAGTGGATTCTGACTCATAGCGACTTTTTAAGTCAGAGTGGAATTGCGCCTAAAGGTTTCTGACTCTTTAAATCTTTACAGGAGTAAACAGTCTCATCTTTCTCACATGGAGTGGTTGGTGGTTTTTAACCTTCAACTTATTGACTAGCAGCTCAATGCTTAGCCCACTGTGCCACCAGACCATCTTCCACACCCCATCCCAGCTAGGATGGTGAATTCCCGGGCAGTGGGCGCCCCCTGCAGTCAGACAGGAGTGCAGCAGGCTAGAAGGTCAAGTCTGTACAAAGTTCCTGATACTGGTGGGGCTTCTCTTTCTTCTTCCCTCATCTCCAGTCTTCGATGGGAGGGTGGGCTAACCTGGTCACTGTGGTTACTGTTGTTGCCTCTGTTTAAGGACTGAGATAAATGTGAAGTGACTTGTCCAAGGTCACAGAGCTGCTGGTGTTGGGTCATCACTCTTCCTTCCCAGGAGGTCTTTATCCTAACCCTCCAGTCTCCCCATCAGCCCCATGCTCCTTGCACCTAGGACAGACACACACAGAATGGTGGAAGGAGGCAGGCAAAGGGGGTTTAATGGGCATTGGGGGTGTGGTTCTCGGCACTCCCTCCAGGGGAGTGGGCAAGGGCAGAGCATAGAGAGGTCTCCACTGCTCCGGGCTCACAAGGTACATTCGGGTGCTCCTAGAAATGCAGGGTGTGAAGCAGTGAGAGGAAGGCTGACCCTTTTCTGGGGACCTCCCAAAACCGGGGTAACACTGTACTGTCACAGAGCTAAATACAGAGGAGGAATGGAGGCTTTCTTCCAGCCCCTGCCCTCAGCTCAAAACCCACTTCAATCTCAATGCCCCACTTCCCCATGTTTGGTCATATTGGGCTGCAGAGCAAACACTTCACTTTAATAAAGGACTCCCTCCCCTCAAAATGAGAAACTACTGGACTGGTCTTGTTTCCTCATTAGTAGCAGGAGTGACTGAGACGCAGAGAGGGTAAATGATCAGCCCACAGGTGTGCCTTTTCCTCTGCTGTCTCCAGGCACCCCGAGCCTATTCTGGAGGCGTGTAACCCTGCTTCCAACACCTCTCTGAATCTGAACCTCCCTCCCCCAAAATCCGGGTGCTCCAGTTTTAGGGCCAGCTCACCCTCTGAGGAGGCAAGACCAGCCTAGTACAATCTGCAGACACCCTTTCCTGAGACACACACACACACACACACACTGACACTTCTCACCTCCTGGAGACTGGAAATCTCACCACTCCCTGGGAGCCCCTTTCCTGATTTGTAGGGACTTGGAGTTTGAGGCTGGGGACTTTGTCTAGGGAGGGTCGGGGTACTGGGCGGAGAGGGACAAGTTGGGGTGTGCAGGTGCAGGTTCTGTAAGGGTACCCAGTCGTGTTGCACCACTCTCTGCAGCCAGACTGCTTTGGCCATGTACCTGGGGAGCAACAGATCAGATGCAAGGGGCTTAGGTCTGCAACTCAGCCCAGCCTGGGTTCCCATTGCCTCCCTCAGCTTGGAGAACACACAGCCAGGAGCTTAGTCCCATAGGGAACCAAAGCCAGTCACATCCACATTGTGGTGCCCTTCACCCCATTCCTTGAGGAAAAAGATAACAAGAGGCAAGTGGGGAGGGTCCAGAAGGAGAAAAACTCTGGAGAAAACCCCAAAGGAACAGGACAATGTGCTAAGGGGCTAGGGGAGATGACCCAGCCTCACCAGCCCCAGGACCCCAGTTTGCCAACTCACTTGGGTCCCAGTGGTGCACAGATGCTTAAATACCAGTTGCTGACACAGCCCTGGTCAAAGGGATTGTATCCCTGCAGGTATCGGCACTGGAGAGGAGAGGTACAGGAAGAGGGGCTCAGAGCCAGTGGATTGAGCAGGATTTTGACCCTTCCTGATCCAGGATCCTAGCCCAGGGTTAGGTACCCAGTGGGTATTGGGGGGTCGGGTGGAGGGGATGGAGTGAGGTGGCTGGGAGGGAAGAGCAAGGTCTGGAGGATTAGGGAAGGACCCCAGCTTCCAGGCAAATAAAGGACCCCAGCTTCCAGTCCATTTCTGAGGAGCCTTCTCCAGGTGAACACTAACACTGCATTCACCCTTCTGCTTCTCAGGATCCCCATTGTAGATTCAATAGTGTCCCCACCACCACATATTATGACTTTAAATCCTAACCCCTGGAATCTATGAATGCAACCTGTTTGGAAATAAGGTCTTTGAAGATGTTATCAATTAACGTGCAGTTATACTAGAGTACAAATCACACCTCACTGCCATCGAGTCGGTTCCAACTCATAGTGACCTTGTAGAGGGTTTCTGAAGCTGCAAATTTTTGCAGGAGTAGAAAACCTCATCTTTCTCCTGTGAACCTTACAATTAGCAGTCCAGTGCTTATCCTACAGCGCTACCAGTGTTTCTATACTAGAGTCGTGTCCTTATAAAAGAGAAAAGATGCAGAGACAAAGAGAAGAAGCATGTGACAAAGTAGACATGGAGTAATGATTCAACTATAAGTAAATTTAGTCATGGGGCCACCAGAAGCTGGTAGAAACAAGAAATATTCTTTCCCTAGAGCCTTCAAAGAGAGAATGGCACTGCCAACACTCTGAATCCAGACTCCCAGACAACAAATTCCTGTTGTGTTAAGCCACCCAATTTGTAGTACTTTATTATAGCAGTCCTAAGAAATTAATGGAGTCCTGATGTGGCCCTGTGGGTTAATGCGCCAGACTGCAAAGCCATTTGAACTGCAAGGTCGGTAGTTCAAGCTTACCAGCTGCTTCTTGGAAACCCTGTATAGGGTTGCAATGGGTCAGAATCGACTCAACGGCACTTAACACAACAAGAAACTAATACAACATCCCTGCCCCCATCATCATCTTGTCCCTCTTCCATAGCCTACTGCCTCCTACTTCCATTGACCTCATACATCCTGTGGCTACCTCCTTCAAAAATACTTTCAGATCTTACTTTCACTGCTAAACTGCTCCAAAGACAGTTTTACTCCATTTCTCCACTTTCCTGCCTCTCATTTTACCCCTAAACTTGTGCCTTCACTGGATTTGGCTGTTTGGAAGAACAGTTGTGTGGGAGTCTGATCATGTTTCTCTAACTAAAATCAGATCGCTCTGGAAAATCTGGGGTCCAGGCTCTGAGCATACGACACAGTAAAGGAAAAGCCCCCCCAAGGTCAAGTCATCCCCTGATTTGCAGTCAAGACACCCCACACCCTCCATCTGACCACCTTGCCTCCTTCCTGAGCCCACCCCACTCCTAGTTCAAGCCTAGCCTTACCCCAACTTCAAGTGTCTTAACTATAAAATATTTTGTCATGACCTCAAGTGACCTAGCAGCTCCTCTGGGCCCATCATCAACTGTCCTGTTCCCCAGGCCCTGTCAAGAAGACTGTGACTTTCAACACTCCTCTCCACCAAAAAGAACCAGGGATCCACTCAGGGGAGCTGACACTGTGTCTGGGAGAAGAAAGCTTAGAATGGTGTCAGAATATTCCATTGTTGCTGAAAAAGGATTGTGATGTTTTAAGTCCTGTCTACTTTCCAAAGTGTTAAAGCATTTAAGGGAAGCTCATATTCTATTTGTTATTTCAGTTAAATGTTTAGAAGAGGTTGATTGTGGGCCCTTTGCATTACATAAGACCATAGGTGGAATCCTGAACAACATCCAGAATCTTCAGAGGTGGGAAATTTCCACTTGAAAGGACAAGCAGACCAGTCTGGAGCAGCTAGAAGAACAGAAGATACTTGAAAGAAAGACCGACAAGAAAAACACAAAAACAATATAGGCAGACCAACTGATTACTACAAGAACAAGCAAGTTGCTCACCCAGAAGACATCACAGCAAGTGGTCAGGTCCCCTTAGAGCTAACCCCCTTCCAAGACTAAGACTCAATGGGAATACACGCTCTGATTGGTGACCACATTCATCACCAATAAGGGGAAGTGAGAGAAAAACAACAATGAAGCTGCAAGCTAAGCCCTACAATACTCAATAGACTCCTGTGAACCTGGGTATTGAAGACCTGGTTGGCCAGCAGTCTGGCAAGACCTGGGGACTCTTGAGCCCAGAGTCAGTGACATAGCCACAGAGGA